AAAAAAAAAAATCAACCTTTGTCTTCTCAAATCACATGATCCATTTTGAAGTTATGTGATCATATTTTTAGTTACAGTTATTTTTAGAGTGAGGGTTGAATTAATTGATTATTTGTAGTCCAGTGGGGGTTTGTCTTCTCAGAGAGACACTGATTCATCAGAGATATAAATAAAACCCGATGCTGCCATCCTTCCCATATGTTGCTCATTTGAGAGATACTAAGCTGCTGCGCTTATTGCCATGGTTACCCTTAGCTGGCTAGAGGCTGGGGAGCGGATGTTTCAGCATGAGGAGATTCACAAATTGCCATTAGTTTGTCTTAGCTGTAGATGCTAGACTCTTGCATACAAAGTCAACTACTTGGAGTTGTTAAGTACCAGCTGAAGCGGCCATAGCTCGCTATGGGGGGTGCGCAGATAAAATGGTAAGGCAAGACACTGATGCTGTGTGGGTTTGTGGTGATTCCTGAGGTTTGTGTGAGGTTATGCGTGTTTTAGCATAACTGAAAGTCTGGTTAGTTCAAGTGTAAAAAGTGAGTGTAGTATGGTTATCACGGGTTGATTTTGATCCCTTCAGGCTGCTTTTCCTCCAGGATATGAGACATGAGATATTTATCTGCAAAGATTTGCAAAAGAGACACCCTGGTAGCAGTTTACATGCTTTGCTTACGACATGTTTACAGTGCTTTGTGCATGATAACTGTCACTTTTGTCTCGTGGTTGTTGTGTTTCTTTCTCATGCTGCTAAAAATGCAAATACGTGTTATGAAGGACATGCAGTCAGAACCTGAAACAAAGACATGTGAGTCAGCATTAAATGGAGTGTCATACATGGTGTAGAGTAATATTACTTCTGGTGTGGACAGTAAACTAGGAAAGGTTACAACTGACCTTCTGAAGGTAAAGCATTTTTTTCCAAGCTAGGAAGAAGACCCTGAGGTGAAATAAAGAGACTGGAGATTTCCAAAATATATATTTATTTTTTTTCTGGAGAGGAGGCTGTTGGTCTCTGCTATCCTACAGAAAAGTGTAGCTCTTCTGTAGGCGTGCAAAATAGAGTTGACAGAGAGTTAAACGAATGAAAAGTATTTTAAATCTTTATGTAGGTGCACACATCTACATGCTTCTGTAGTGCAAGATGATTAATGAATGTTTTGTCCTTTATGAGCCTCAGCTC